TCTGACCTTTAGGTTGTGTGCATTCTCTTCAGAAAGCTGAAGGGGAAAAAAAAAAAGCTGAAAAGAAATAAGGATTCTGCTTTTCTTTGATTTCCTCCACAGCCCTTGCATTTCAGGCCTATGAAGTTAGCCTCTAAGAGAGATCTTGATGCTGTTTTGTCAAGTCATACCCAATATATACAAGTCTGTGGGTTCTAAGTGAGTCTGTTGGGCAGTGAAGATCTCTAGAACAGACCAGTAAAAGCAGGTAGAGGAACTTTCTTATGTGAGTTTCAAGGATTTGAAAGAGTGGCCTGTTTCCCTAAATTGAAGTGGGCTTCGCCATGTGAACAGGTGGCGTATGCTTATTTCATGAAAGAGGAGTGCCACTTTGGGTGTGTTATCCACATATCCAAGTGTGTCTGACCCTAGTCCCACCTTCAAGCTCTCTGTTTACAGATCCCTGGTTTTGAAGTGCTACAAAGTAGCTTAAGGTGTCAAGATAATTACTATTTTAAAAAAATAAGTAGAGTTTAATGCTGTATTTCAAGGAAGTGGGAATTAGAAGATTGAATTTATTCTGCAACACCGGAGACTGAAGTCAGGACCTCTTGCAGTAGAGTGGCATTGTACCAGTTAGCTACACCCCAGCAAGATGATTGCATTTAAAGAAGTTCGGGGCTCTCTAGTGTCTTTGCCTGCTTATCTTCCGTCTGATCGTCAATTAAAGACATTTTAGGTCCTTCACTTCAAGTTCAGAACACTCAGAGCTGGCAGTGTTTTGTTTATTTCAATTTCTGTTATGGTTGTGAGAACTGAATAGTTTTTAAGTCACCATTGGTTCATCATACATACATGTAACTAGTATGAAAACGTCAAGGTGATATTTGATTTATTTCTTCGCTAAACTGTCAGCATTGGTGGTGCCCTCTTGAAACAAGTCAAACGAGAACATTGTAGCTTGTAGATGTGACCTTTGAACAGAACTGCTTATAGACAGAGTGGGTGTTGTATCTGGTACGGGAAATTCCTCTCCTATGGATGCTTTTTGAGCACATGGTGATTTTACTTAGAAGAAAATTTATTAACAGGTTCTGTTAAATAGAAAGCTTTTCTCCTGTATGTGAGGTGTTTTTGTTTTGTTTTGTTTTGTTTTGTTTGGTATGAGGGATCGAACTTGGGTCCTTGTGCTTGCAAAGCAGGCGGTGGAACCACTGAGCTAAATCCCCGTATCGAACTTGGGTCCTTGTGCTTGCAAAGCAGGCGGTGGAACCACTGAGCTAAATCCCCGGCCCTTTGAAAAACTGATTTATAAAACTTCAGGAATAACTTGTGGATATCATAGAACTGCTGTGGTCTTCACAGACAGATTAAGTGATAGGAATAAAATGGAAATTCTCTAGCTCAAAATTTTTCTCTGACTTGATTTCTTTTGTTAGATTCTTTTTTTTTCCTCTCTTGGTACCAGGGATTGAACTTGTGCTTTCAAGGCAGCCACACCACTGAGTTAAATCCCCAGCCCTTTTATGTTACACATTCTTTTTGTTTTGTTTTGAAAGCCCTGTTTCAGTATCAGTTTGCATTCTGCTCTGCAAATCTAAGTGTGAAATTTAACATGCATAATCGTGTAACCTCTACCATAATCAAGTAGAACAATTGGGAGCAAGATGTGAACAGAAAAAAAAAATCCCTCATGGCTCTTTGTAGTCAACCCCTCACTCATCTCTTGGAATCAATTTATGTTGCCAAAAGGATAAAATCTAATCTCTAAAAGGATCTTTTGCATATGAAATACACAGGACCCTGGTTTTTTAAAAAGTGAGATACTTTGCTTGTTTGTTTTTTGGTACTGGGGATTGAACTCAGGACCTTGTGCTTGTGAAGCAGGCAGCAGAACCACTGAGTTAAATCCCCAGCTAGATACTTTAAGTACTTGTGAAATAATCTAGTTAGAATTGTTCTGACCTTACTGAACTAGTCTTTGTAGAATATATTAATCAAGATAGTTTCAGACTAAAGCTAGTTGATTAAAAAAAAAACTAAATAATGGAATTAATTCTACAAATATTAGTCTCTGTAGTGTCAGCTGTGCTAAAAGGCAAAGGCACAAAATTCTCAGATATACGTTCCGAGTGTAACTGGACCTGTCTCAATTCACCCTCTGCTACAATAGGTATAGAGCAAAGTCTCTACTTTGCATAAATTCAGATTCACCTTTTCTACTTGAAAAGCTTCATCACTTCTTCCAAGCAACAGACCTTATGTGTATCAGCATCTTGAACTTTACTGAGCCGAGAAGTGCATGGCCAAAAAGCTGTTATATTCTTAATTTTGTGTCTGGGTGTTGAAATAGAAATGCCAGCCATTGGTTTTCTTGGTAAAATAATTTTATTCTATTTGTATGTAATCGTGCTTTCATGATAGTAGATTGAAGTCACTCTTAGCATTTGCTTAAATTATTTAGATCATTTATTTAAATGTGTTATCACTTCAGTTTTAAAATTAAGAATTAGAGGTGTAGCTCAGTTATATAGCACTTGCCTTGCATAGGTGAGTCCTTGGGTCCGATTTCCAGTACTGCAAAATAAATAAAACTCATTTGAAACTAGAAAACCTGAGAAATATCTGGTATGGACAAGCATTAAACTTGTAAGGTGTTTTTTCCTCCTAGAAAAAGGCTATTTAAAATAGGCTCAGGGTGGGGCTTTTTCATTCTGTTTCTAGTGATTGGGTCTGAACGGTGTAGTGCTAAAGCGGTGATAAACGTTTTGTACCAGAAGGGGCAAGAGATTGTGTTTCTGAGAATATGATCTGTTCAATATATCTTTTTACATTTGTGTGTGGCTTTTTTTTTTTTTTTTTTTTTTTTTTTTTTTTTTTGTTTTTTTTTTTTTTTTTTTTTTTTTTTTTTTGGCAGGATGTTGCTATGTAGCTCAGGCTGGCCTTGAATTCATGGCAATCCTTATGCCTCAGCCCTCTGAGTGTTGGACTTACAGGCATGTGTCAACAGGCCTGGCTTTTTTGAGTGTTGTTGTTTTTTGTTTGTTTGTTTGTGTGTTTTTTTGGAGACAGGGTCTTGCTATGTATTTCACGCTGGCCTTTAACTCTAGGGAATCAATGTTCCTTCTCAGCCTCCCAAGGGCTAGGATCACCAATGGGTGCCACCATACCCAGTTAATTGCATCTGGTTTAAAGCTTGAATTTAAAATATTTTGTAATTATATAACATTCTTTGTTTTACAATCAGCATGCTTTGTGTCATCTGAGTATCCAGTGTGCTACAAGTGTACTTATGTATAGGAAAAGCCTTACAATAGATACTATGTCCAATAAATGTCCATTTTATAAATCTCTGCCTAATGTTCAAGCACTTAGATGTACTCAAGCCAGATTAATCAGAAAATTTAGATTTCAGCTGGACATGATGGCTCATGCCTGTAATCCCAGCACTCATACTTGGCAGACTGAGGCAGGAGGATCTCTGAGTTTGAGACCAGCCTCGGTTATATAGTGAGTTCCAGGTCAGTCTCAACTATATAGTGAGACCCTGTCTCAAAAAACAAAACAAAACAAAACAATTCAGATTTCAGGGCTTTAGGTAAACACATGGTTATAGATGTCTATAAATGAAAAAGACAGTAATGAAGTCTATAATGAAAAAGGATAATTTCTTAAATTTCTAGAGGTAATACAATTTCTATTATTACCTCGTAATCTATTGAACTTCATTTTTAGGATATTAGTTTCAGCCTTGTACAAATCACTCAGCCTTTCAGATAATTGATCTCTTGATCTGTAAAATAGCATAACCCTTTGTGGTTTCTGTGGCATGATGTCCTGATTCATTCTGCTTTGGTTTTTGTTTTTTTCACAGATGATAGTCTGTCATCTTTTTTGTATTTGACTACTAAGTTTTATTACTGAAACCTACCTACTCAACAAGGATGACATGCTGTCCCCCATTTTAAGTTTCAAAAATTCCAAGCCTGAAGGAAAAATTGAAATAATAGCACAGTGACATTGTCTATGACCCCTTTAACTATTTTCAGCGACTATTAATTTTGTCAAGCTTTCCCCCTTTCCAAGGCCATGCTGGGCAGCTTAACAGTATCAAATAATTTAGTCTAAATTGGGCATGGTGGAGGATGGCTGTAATCCCTGCAGACTGAGGCAGGAAGGTTGCTGTGAAGAGGCCAGTCTGGGCTACACAGTGAGTTCAAAGCCAGTCTGAACTATATAGTGAGATCCTGTCTCAAAGAACAATAAATAAAAAGGGCTGGAGATGCAGCTCAGTAGTAAAACACACTTGGATTCAATTCCTAGCACTTGAAAAAAAAAAAGCCCTTAACTCTTTTTTTTTTTTTGAGACAGGGTTTCACTATGTAGTTGAGACTGACCTAGAACTTACTATGTAGCCCAGGCTGGTCTTGAACTCACAGCGATCTTCTTGCCTCAGCCTCCCAAGTGCTGGGATTACAGGCGTGCGCCACCACTTCTGGCAAAAAAGCCCTTAATTCTTAATAGGTCAGGTTTTGAGGTAGAACTGCCACTTGTGCACCCTCTAATCCTGGAAAGCTCTGGGCACTTCTTTCATCTCTCTGGCAACCTTTCTCTCAGGGAACTAGCTGAGGGTCGGCCACACTCAGTCCCTAGCCAGCACACACACATACCGAGAGCACTGCCCAGGGACAGCGTGCATAAGAACACAGATACAACACCGATACCACACTCCAAAATCCTGCGAGGATAAAATAGCATTATCAAGTATGTATTCAGAGTTCTTATTTGTCCCAATAATGTCCTTAGCTGTCCCTACCACTATCCCACCTCAATGCAGGACTCAGTCGGCTGTCACACTAAATTTTGTTGTCATGTAATTAAATATTTTGGTTAAAGATCTTTTCTAGAAAAATTATAATTTGCAAGAAATTTTGACATAATTAGTGTAGCCTGTTAATGAAAAATCTTTACTAATGTGATGCATTGGCATCAGTCTTACCAATTTGCTCTTCCATCACCAGGTTCTTCCACGTGGCAGCTCAGCATGATGAATCAAGCCAGAGCAACGTTCTCGAACTTGGTAAGACATCTTCAGTTACAGGTCTGTGTCTGCAACAACGTGACGTAGACCAGCATGGCTGTTACCCCACCAAGTATGAAATAATGCCTCCAAATATCACCAGGCATTCTTGTATACTTGAACTGGTTACCTTGAGATCTAAGAGATCCCACAGAGGAAGAGTGTAGTTTGGTGCAAGGTTAATTCTAGAAAATATTGTGAGAGGTTTCAGGTGCTTTGGGTATATTGGGGTTGGTGGGGGGTAGTCCAGTAGATGAGATGAGCTAAGAAAGCACAGCTCAGATTTATAGTTAGGAGCTGGGCACTGTGGCCTTGCCTGGCGTCCTGGCTACTTAGAAGACTGAAGTAGAATCATTTGAGCTCAGCAGTTTGAGGCCAACCCAGGCAACATACTAAAGACCCTGTCGGCCTTAAAACAACAACAACAACAAAAAAATAGTGCGTAGTGCATGTTATTTAGGAAACATACAAAAACATGGGAAGAAAGGGATGCATAGAGTGAAGACCAGTGTGTGATGCGGCCTCCATCTGCCACCCATAGAAGTGGGCAGGAACAGTGCTGTTTTGAAAGGGGATCTTTGATTCTTTTAGGAGTGTGATCAGGTCCTTGGCAGCGGGGCACTAACAAGCATAGTTTGTGACCAGACTTGTTGTAAATGTTCCTGATTCCCTTCATCTCCTTTATGGTGCTTTCATTTTTTTTAAAAAAAATCCAAGTTTGGTGGAGAACCATTGTCATACACCCGGTTCAGTCTGGCTCGGCACGTAGATGGAGATACCAGTCATGTGGAGATGAAACTGGCTGCAGATGAGGAAGAAAATGCTGACAGCATGAGGGCCAACGCCAAAGCACCGAGAAGGTGTGTCAAAAGCATCTGCTATGGGGCTATTGCCATCACCATTTTTTTCTTGATTGGTAAGTGTTTCTTATACCCAGCCATTATTTCTACTCAGCTACTCATTCTGTACTTTGTAAGTGCCACTGTGCAAGGCAGTAGGAATACGATGGTGACTAAGATTCTGTACCTGCCACTGAATTTAGTCTGGTGGGAGAAGAGAGAGATGTAAGTCATTGCAGTCATTTGTGCAGATGTTATACTGGAAAGAACACAGGATGTTTGGGGCCCAGGAACTCAGCCTGGGGTTTCAGGGAAGGCTTCTGGTAAGAAAAGGTACCCCCGTGTTTTAAACAAGTAACTGTAAAATAGTTATTATGTAAGTTAGTCATTATTATATAACGTATTAGATTATGTGGCTTAAAAATCTATAATAAGACTGAGATGTAGTTGTTTGCTTTCAGACTACTTAAAATTCAGTTGAGACCAGTATCTTCAAGGTTTGGCTTAAAATATTAACAGTTCTTAAGGAGCCAGATTATAAATGAATTCTATGAGTTGAACTTTACAACTTTTTATCTTAGGATTTCTGATCGGGTACCTGGGCTACTGTAAACGTATAGAACCAAAGGCTGAGTGTGAGAGTCCAGCAGTCATGGATGCGATGAACGGGTCAGAAGACCCGGAGCCAGGGGATGAAGAGTTCAGCTCTGAAGCCTCTCCTCGCTTGTACTGGGAAGACCTCAAAAAAATGTTGTCAGAGAAACTCAGCAATGCAAAGTTAAGCGACACAGTCAAGTAAGCTTAGCTGCTTCACAAGTCTGATTTCATTGTCTGAGCAAATACTGCTTTTTAGGTGCAGTGAGTCAAAACCACAGCGACAGATGTGAGAGGCCTTTTAGAGGAGGGGTGGCTTCTCATGGGTAGGTAGGATACAGGTGAGAGGTCAGTAAGAATTGAAACTGTGCTGGTGGGGGGAAATTTAGACCTTCTCTGGAAATGTACAGGTCTTTGTTCTTTGTCACGTGTTTCTGGTATCTCACTGCTTAGTCTCAGGTTCTATTCTATTCTGTTTGACTGTTTTTTTAAAAATTTATTTGTTTATTTATTTAGAGATAGGATCTCACTGGGCAGTTCAGGCTGGCCTTAACTCGCTCTGTAGCCCAAGCAGTCCTGGAACTCCAGTGATCCTCCTGCCTCTGCTTCCCGAGTGCTGGGATCATGGGTGTACACCATCATACCTGGCTTGCCTCCTAGATGTAGCTATTAAGTTGTGCTGCTGTCAGCATGGGTATGCATGGATTACTGAAATATAATGACTTAAACTTTTGTATATGATCTACAGTGGCATCATGGTTAAAAGTAAAAGTGACCTGGGTGGGTGGTGCATGCCTGTAATCCAGCACTATGTTTTCCTCTGTCTGGCAGTGCCAAAATTTTGGTTCATTGTTTATATTAATTATGAGGGATAATACAAATCAGTTTTTTTTTTTATTCTTGAGTTGAGCATCAGTTTTAAATATGCATTTTAATGGAGACTTTTCCTTCCAGACAGCTGAATGAAGATGCATACGTCCCTCGTGAGGCTGGTTCTGAAAAAGATGAAAATCTCGCCTATTTTGTTGAGAATCAGTTTAATGAATATAAACTTAGCAAAGTCTGGCGAAATGAACACTATGTTAAGATTCAGGTAAAAAACAGGTATGTTGAAAGATATTAAACTTGTAGGAGGAGTTTCATGTATGTAAAACAGGATAGACTTTCAAAGTAAAAATCTGGCTTTAAGATACAAAGCAAGATTCCTTCAAGGCAAGTAACACGGGTCAAATGCTAGACATATTAAAGCTATTTTATTATTTCATCTAAGGACAGCCTTAACTTCATGTTAAGTTCATCTTTTTCAGCACTGCTCCAAACTCTGTGACTGTGACAGATGCAAAAGGTTTGGTGTACCTGGTGGAGAATCCTGAGGGCTATGTGGCGTACAGTAAGGCTGCAACCGTTATTGTAAGTAAGGCAAACCGTGCAGGAGACTCTGCCCCTGTTAACTAGCTTGGATACTCCTTATCTCTGCTATCCTTTCCCCATGGATCTTAGAGTTACACTCTTAAGTTCACTTGTGAGATGTAACTGACCACGAGATAGTTATTGTCTTCAACCTTTCAGTGCCTCAGTCAAAATAAATCGGAAGACCTAAATAATCTTAACGCTCACCTCATTGGTCACTCTGACCTTCTTACTGTTCACATGGTGAAATTCACTGACGGGATCACTAGTTTTCATTTTGCCCAAATGAAGAAAGCTCAAGTGTAAAAAGCTCCTGCCTCAAGACCCTTATAAAATTTAGCTGGGTGTGATAGCACACACCTGTGATCCCAGCACTTGGGAGCCTGAGGCAGGAGTTTGAGGTCAGTCTGGGCCTCAGGCTAGTTCAAGGAGGGCCTGGACCACATACAGAGACCTTGTTTCAGTAACAAAAAGTAAAGAATAAATTTAAAAAGTTGCTTTTCCCTTTGCCAGTCCTCTTCTAAACACAAAGCGATTTGTTCCGTCACTTTGTGGAGGTCTCTTCTTCAGTATTTCCTCATTAGGGAGGGTTTTCTCACTTTTCACTTCCCCCCTATCCTGCCTATACTTTCTTCCTAGTATTCTTGAACCTGTTATCACCTGTCCATTTATCTCCACTAAAGTGTGAACACTGGGAAGAGCTAACTCAGGGTTAGTTTCATTCACTGACATATTACAGAGCCTTGGAAAGTGCTTGTGGCATGGTAGTTTTGCTAATAAGTGAATGCATTTTCCAATGTCCCACCTGGGGGCACGTGGAAATAATCCATCTTGGATGGGTGTGTAGTGTAGTGTAGATTGGTGGTTGAATGCTTGCCTAGAATACCTGAGGTCCTGGATTCAATCCTCAGTGTCACAGAAACCAACAAACTGGCTAAGTAGTTTGATTGTTTTATGCTTGAGCTTTTTAAACTTGGCCCAAAAAATAGAAAATGGCTAGGTAGATTATTATTGTGGGTTTTTTTTTTCCTTTTGAGACAAGCTCTCACTGTGTAGTTCAAGCCTACCTTGAACTCACTGTGTAACCCAGGCTGACCTCAAACTTCTGGCAATCCTCCTGCTTCAGCCTCCTGAGTGCTGGTATTATAGGAAAGTGCCACCACCCTGGTTATTATTTTTTTAATGGTGGTATTTTCAGGTTAAAAGTCACATTAAGGGGTATATTTTAAGAGGTACAGATGAAATTTGATCTGCAAGGCTTATTTTCAGATCCTGGGTTGTTCATGTCAGTTTATAGCTGCTCTTGGGAGTACTAGAGTTTAAGAACATTGTGATGACAGCTTATATAAACATCTAAGAATTGTTTTATACAAGATACTATTCTAGTGTATTTAAATTATTCTAGTGGCAATTAAATTATTTTGGACGTTTATTAGATCTTCTATTCCTACTCTACAAATTTCCCCCCAAGTGTCTGAGATTAATGGTGGAAACCTTATGTTACTGGTGCTTCTGTGATGAGCCTATGTATGCATTTAACAAATCCTGTTATCCTTTCTCTTCCCCAGAAAATATTCTGTACATACAGGAGGCCAGAAATCTTGATTTCATGCTTGATACTGGCTGTTTTTGACTGTAGAATGCTCATCTTTTTCCCTGCCCTCCCACATTTTCCTTGTTGCTTTCCTCTCCTTTTTTTTTTTGAGACAGGGTCTCACTTTGTAGTTGAGACTGACCTGGAACTGATTTAGCTCAGGCTGGTCTTGAACTCCCAGCAATTCTCCTGCCTCTCAGCCTCCCGGAGTGCTGGGATTGCAGGTGTGCGCCACCACGCCCGGTTGCCTCTCCTATGTTTGATCTGTAAAAACTCTTCTGTTTTAGATTGTATAGCTGTTCTATGTGATCTCCATTAAATTTAATATCTTTGTTTTAGGGTAAACTGGTTCACGCTAACTTTGGCACTAAAAAGGACTTTGAGGATTTAAACACTTCTGTGAATGGATCTTTAGTGATTGTAAGAGCAGGGGAAATCACTTTTGCAGAAAAGGTGAGTATGGGGTCTTTTAAATACATTGTTCGAGGGCCACCTGCCTCACAAGTGCAAGGTCCTGAGTTTGATCCCTGATACCATAAATAAATTAATTTTAAAAAAAAGTTGTGCCAGGCATGGTGGTGCATGCCTGTAATGCCAGCACTCGGGAGGCTGAGGCGGGAGGATCACTGAGATCAAGGCCCTCCTCGGCTACAGTCTGAACTGCAAAGCAAGACCCTGTCTTAAAAAAACAAAACAAAATAAATACATTGTATCTTCAGTTACGTGACATTTTCTTAAATTCCAAATATTTCAGTTACAAGTAAGTGGCATTAAAAAGAAAAATAAAATTAAAAGCCAAACCTATGCAATGGTTTGAGACTGGAAAACATCAAAAGATAGTACTTGTCTTAGATAAGTTTACATTATTTTGTTTTCCAGACGCTCCTTAATGAGGTTTTTTTTTTTTTTTTTTTTTTTTGGTACCGAGGATCGAACTCTGGTCCTTGTGCTTGCAAGGCAGGTGGTGGAACCACTGAGCCAAATCTCTGGCCCCTTAATGAGTCAGTTTTATGGAAAATGTTTTCCATAAGTGTAAGTTATTAGAAGTATTTGGAGGATCATTCTAGTCCTTCAGTGTAAAGTCCAGTATGCATTAATCACATTTTATATGATCAGATCTTCATTTTCTGAGCTTTCTGTGATTTTTCTGTAGGTTTCAAATGCTGCAAGCTTAAATGCACTTGGTGTCTTGATATACCTGGACAACATTAAATTTCCCATCACTAAGGCAGACCTTCCATTCTTCGGTCATGTGAGTCCTTACTGACTTCTCCTGTTACTGGATTCCATCTACCTTAGTAGAAATAAAACTGTACCTTCCTTAACTACTCTACTGGGAGAATTTCAGCAGGAAGCAAAATTTTGATTACACTGACTTTGAGACCTTACTGCTACCAATTATCAGTAGTACCTTGAACTGAGAATTGCTAAAAAGACCTCTTGATAAAAGTATTTCAGGGCTGGGGTGTTAGCTCAGTGGCGTTGCTCCTGCCTGGCAAGTACAAGGTCCTGAGTTTGATCCCTGGTACCAAGAAAAATACTTCATCAGCCAGGCATGGTGATGTACCCCTGTAATCCCAGCACTCAGGAGGCTGAAGCAGGAGGATCACCGTGGTTCAAGGCCAGCCTGAACTACATAGTGAGATTCTGTCTCCAAAAAATGACCAAAAAAGCGCTTCATCAGTAGTGCCTTTAATTGAGAATTTGCCATGTAAAAGGGATGAGTCATGTTGCAGAGCCGTGCATACCTGGAGATTTTAGGCTGAAAACGTAGCATGGGGTGTGCTCTTACACCAAATCAGAGTCTTCTAGGGAACTAGTTGAGGAAGTGCAGGAGAGCTAATTACTCTGTCATTTTACTAGGCTCATCTGGGAACAGGCGACCCTTACACCCCTGGATTCCCTTCTTTCAATCATACCCAGTTTCCACCATCTCAGTCATCTGGATTGCCTACTATACCTGTCCAGACCATCTCCAGAGAGGCTGCAGAAAAACTCTTTTTTTTTTTTTTTTTTTTTTTTTTTTTTTTTTTTGCTACCAGGAATTGAACTCAGGCCTCATGCTGCATCCCAGCTGGGTGAGTTCTTAATTGAAAGCTGTCTTGCAGGATGAGGTTTATGATGAGGGAAGAATGATAAGTTTCAGTTGATTTGATCAATGCTTAAAACATTTGGTTATAGTTTTACATGTGTGGGAATTTGAGGGTGATTAACTGTTAAATTGATAGAGATAAAATGAATTTTTCCTTTGTAAAGCGGTCTTGCTAATAGACACTGGATTTATGAACTCAGGAGTCCTTGTCCAGCTCACCCAGTGAATTCTTCATGTGGTTTTTTTTTTTTTTTGGCTGAGCTTTTACTTGAATAGTCTTTGATGTAGCACCTTGCCATCTATGGCAACACCCTCAATTAGTTATTGGAGAAAATATGTTAGAATTGTTTTTTTTTGAGGGGGTTATTGTGGCTAGAACTGAGGACCTTGCACCACTGAGGTAAATCCCTGGCTCTGGATTATTTGTTTTACAGCACACAGTGATTTTCATCTCCTTGTCTACAGATTGAATGTCCTCAGTTCTCATGTTTCTAGTTGCTTTACAGTCATAATTGATTCTCTTGGATATCCTCCCTGGAGTATCTCTTTAAAAATAGAGCCTAAAGCTGGGAGTGGTGATGCACACCTGTAATCCCACCACTTGGGAGGCTGAAGCAGGAAGATCTCCACAAGTTTGAGGCCAGCCTGGACTACATAGTGAGACCCTGTCTGAAAAAAATAAATAAAAGAACTTAAAACTAAGAGAAAAAACTATCACCACAATGGAAAGAACAAAAAATAAAACAAGCCAGCTGTGCTGGCACACGCCTGTAGTCCTAGCACTCAGGAGGCTGAGGCAGGAATTTGAGGCCAGTGTGGACTACATAGCAAGACTCTGCCTCAAAAAACAACCACCACAGGGTTGGGGAATTTAGCTCGGTGGCATTGCGCCTGCTTGACAAGTCCAAGGTCCTGAGTTAGATCCCCAGTACTGGAAAAAGCAAAACAAACAAAAAAAAAACCCCAAAACAAGATTCATCAAACTGTAGGGCATAGTGACACATTCCTGTAGTCCCAGCTACTTGGGAGGGTCACTGTAGACCACAAGTTCCAGATGAGCCTACCCAGAAGAACAAGACCCTCATGTCAATAAGGAGATCACTCATTTTTATTACTTTTCCTGGTACTGGGGATTGAACCCAGGGCCTTAGAACTGAGCTATATCCCTAGCCTGTTTTTTGTTATTAATGATGATGTTATATGGGGTTTCACTATGACCAGACTGGCCTTGAACTTACTGTGTAGCCTAGCCTGGGCTCAAACTTGTGGTGATGCTCCTGCCTCAGCTTCCCAAGTGCTGGGATTATAGGCTTGCGCCACCATGTTCAGCGTAATCTTTTAAGACATGTTTTCACTAATTTACCCACACTGGACTCAAACTTGTGATCCTCTTGCCTCAGCCTTTCAGAGTGTTGGGATTACAGGTGTGCATCATCATGCTTGGCAAATTTTTATCTTGATGACGTATATTTCCCACCTCCTATCATCATAGGATAGATACCTGTTTTCTTTCTTTCTTTCTTTCTTTATTTGGTACCGGGGATTGAACTCGGGTCCTTGCGCTTGCAAGGCAGGCCACCGAACCGCTGAGCTAAATCCCCAGCTCCATGATACCTGTTTTCAGACTCTTATTAAAGCATTTATTGACTGATATAGAACAGGTTACTCTAACTCTAAACCTGTTGCATCTATTCAGTTGTATCCTACTAGATGTTTTACTACTGGGGTGGTTGGCCACAAATAAGGAGCCTCTACATGTAAGGGCTTTGTAAATCCCATGTGACTGTTAATACTAAGAGGCATTTGCAGTAGGTGAGGCTCTCCGGCTCATTCTACCCTGTCTCCCAACCCGTGAAGCCAGTTCCTTCTCTTTATGTGTGTAGTAAGGGGCAATAGTGTTTTGACTTATATTTATGAAAGTTAGATCCCTGGAGCACTTATTTTTTGGGTAACACATGAGAAATTAGTTGGGAAGATATCTAATGGCCAGCACAAGAATAGGAATATTCTTTTATAATCGAGAAGAATGTTAGGGGAGAGGGTTGGGAAGCATGCAAATATATTAACAGACTTTTATATGAGCCCTCCCTTCTGAGTCCATATTGGTAGTATTTCAAATGTAAGCCATAACCGAAGAGCATACGTTAGATGTGGATACTGGATGTGCATACTGTTTGATTTTGAAAACTTTTTTTTTTTTTTTTTTTGCTACTGGGGATCAAATTTGAACCCTTGTGCAGTGGAACCATTGAGCCAAATCCCTAGCCCTGAAAACTTTTTTTTGTGGGGAGCAATTTAAGACAGGGTCTCACTGTATAGTTGAGACTGACCTGGAACTCAGCCCAGGCTGGTCCCAACTCACAGTGATCCTCCTGCCTCAGCCTCCCGAGGGCTGGGATTACAGGCGTGCACCACCACACCCAGCCCCTGAAAACTTTTTTTTGTGGGGAGCAATTTAAGACAGGGTCTCACTGTATAGTTGAGACTGACCTGGAACTCAGCCCAGGCTGGTCCCAACTCACAGTGATCCTCCTGCCTCAGCCTCCCGAGGGCTGGGATTACAGGCGTGCACCACCACACCCAGCCCCTGAAAACTTTTTGACTAAACTAGAAAGTAATTCATGACTTTCAAAAGACTGCCTACAGATTAGAGTAAGATTAAAGTGGCTACCAGGGAGTGAATTTTCTATTCTTCTCTTTGTGCCCTTTTAACTTGAACCTCACTGGGGGCAGAAAATGGAACTGATTTATCAGACCTGAGAGAAGTAAGTAACTCAGAACTCTCTCTGATGCTTCTGTTTTGTGCTTGTAGAAATATGGAAAGAGAGTGTCCCAGTAACTGGAGAACAGAACTTGCATGTCGGTTGCAGACGAGTCAGGAAAGGAGTGTGAAGCTCGTTGTGAATAATGTACTGAAAGAGATAAGAATTCTTAACATCTTTGGCGTTATTAAAGGTGTTGAAGAGCCAGGTAAGGCCTTTGTGCCCCCTGCCTTCCCATAATTCCTTTCTAGCTAACCTGGTTTAATTCTGTGAAGTGCTAAACCTTGTCTGTTGTAAAATGAACTATTTAGGTGTCATTTTTATTGAGATGTAACAAGGCCCTAGGAAGTTGACTTGTTAGAAACTAACCATTATGAGCCAGGTGTGGTGGCACACGCCTATAATCCCAGCACTCCGGAGGCTGAGGCAGGAGGATGTGAGTTCAAGACCAGCCTGGGATAAATACATAGGGAGTTCCAGGTCAGTCTTACCTACATAGTGAGACCCTGTCTCAAAAAACCAAAAAAAAGAAACTAACCATTATGACCAGAAAATCTATGTTTACTTATTGACAAGACCAAAAATAACATTTTCCTTAAGGGGCAGATGAACATTTTGTAGGCTGTACAGTGTGTGTTGTAACTACTCTGTTCAGCCTACATAGTGCAAAAACAGGCATAGCCACCATGTAGTAAATGAGCCCTGGGCTGGGGATTTGGCTAGGTGCTGCCCCTGCCTGTCTCCAAGCACAAAGTCCTAAGTTCGACCCCAGGGAACCAAAATGAATAAGTATGCAGAGTAGTTTGCCGATGCCTGGAACTATTTAAATGCAATCAAGTAGTCACATCATTTAGAAAGGAAAGTCCTTGGACTTACTAAAAAGTTAATTATTTAACCATTACAGCCCCCAAAAACACAGTCACTGAATAAACATAATTGGTAAAATACAAAAGTAACAACATTAGTAAGGGAAAAAATAGTATTGTCATGTGAATTTTTTTTCCCCTTGATACTGGCGATCGAACTCAGGACCTTGCGCTTGTGTGTCAGGTGACAGAACCACTGAGTTAAATCCCCAGCCCTGTTTTGTGAATTTTTAATCCTTGGCATCCTAGATCAGATCTGAAGTCAGGCTCATTCATTCTTAACACATACATGATGCTTTTCTATTGCTATGCTTACTCTGCATAGACTTCGGTATTATAAAACAGTTTAAAATCTGATTCATAAGACTTATTTTGTTTTCTTTTTTAAGATCACTATGTTGTAGTGGGGGCCCAGAGGGATTCCTGGGGTCCTGGAGCTGCGAAGGCCAGCGTGGGAACTGCTCTTTTGTTGGAACTTGCCCGGACAGTCTCAGATATGGTCTTAAAAGGTAGAGTACAAACCTTCAGTCCTTTGAACATTATTTGCTACATACTGTATGTCTTGCTCTATTTTGCCTGATTTCTTAAGATTCTCTTATGCTAGACCCTTAGGTCTTAAACACACAGCAGCTCATCTTTTGATAGCTGCTTTTTGACTTTTGAATGATTCTCCTTGAAGTATTTTATGATGCTGGGTATCATGAGTTTCTTTGAGACACTGGGAAATACTCTTAAGCCCTAATTCTGAGCTTGGATCTCAAGAATGAAATGGCAGATCTAATAGGAACTGTGCCTGAGGAATCTACTTAAAAGCAGAGGCCTATGCTTGATTTTACTGTGACAAAACCTAATGACTGTTAGAATTTTGTCCTTTCACATTCAACCCTTTTATTCATGATACTCAAAGCTCTTCTAACCCTCCCCTTATGTGCACACCTTCACATTGTTGATTGTTGAGGTAGTGGGGTAAATTGCAGTGCTTAACCTTTGTAGAAGACACATTAATGCAGGGAACACACACCCAGGGAAATGAGCAGGGCAGGGGCAGCAGCACAGCTGGTGCCAACAAGTGCTGTTGCCTGTGTTACTTGGAAGTGTGCTGTTATTAAAATTTGTAGATTTTAATTTTATTTCCTAAAAAAATCCCATGTTTTAAGTGACTTGAGCCCTAGCCAAGTGTTTTCCAAGAAGACACACATGATTATGCTGTAATTTTGATGACCTCTCAGTCTTGAGGTTCAGGCCCCCAAAGAATGGCGTAGTAAAGGAGAGATTCCCAGTGAGCCGGTCCCTTATCTGCAGGTGATCTCCTGGCCTCTTCTCTGTAGATGACTTTAAAATTTTATTCCTATTCCTTTAATGTTCTTTTACCTGGAGTCTCTTTGGAGCCATTTTTTTTTTTTTTTTTTTTGTACCGGGCATTGAACTTGGGACCTTGTTCTTATGAGGCAGGTGGCGGAATCACTGAGCTAAATCCCTAGCCCCTACCTGGAGTCTCAAAAGGAAAAGATATACTTTTTTTTTTTCCTTCCTCTCATTGAGTTTATTGGTACATTTTAGGTATACAGTATAGTTACATTCATCATTGGGATCTTGTACCTTTACACGACAGGTCTTAGTAAAAAGATCTACTTTTTGAAGTCCATTATCTTGAATTAGAAGCTTCTGGTTCAGTTACCAGTCAGTTACTTGCCTGGAATCTTTCCCAAGGTAAAGCTGGTTTTTTTTGTTGGGTTTCAGGTGGATTTAAGCCCCACAGAAGCATCATCTTTGTCAGCTGGAGCGCTGGAGACTTTGGAGCTGTCGGTGCCACTGAATGGCTAGAGGTATTTGCATCATCTGTGCTAAGGGGGTGAACTCCGTTAGCTTAAACTATCCTCCAGGAGCCGCTCTTTCAGAGTTCGTTATTCTGTTGATCTCTAGAGGAAGTCTTCAAAGTAACAGCTACCATACATGATTAATGCCTATGAATAAATACATATTATTAGTATTTTATTCTTATTTGCAGTAAGCTACATCTTTAGCCCTTCTGCCCCACTTTAATAAAGTTTGTTTCCTTTTGGTTCTGGGGATTGAACTTGGGACCTTGTCCTTGCGAGGCAGGCGGCAGGACCACTGAGCTAAATCCCCTGCCCCTGTTTTGATTGTTTTTTTGAGACCAAATCTCGCTGTAAGGCCTAAGGGTGGCCTTAAGCTCAAGTGATCTTCCTGCCTCAGCTTCCTGAGTGTTGGGATTACATTTGCCCCCATGCCCATCCCAGAATACATAGTACTACTTTGTGTTAATATGTAAATTAATATTTTTTCTAGGGATACATTACCTCTTTACATTTAAAGGCTGTCACTTACATTAATTTGGATAAAGCTGTTCTTGGTAAGTATCTCTTTCACTAGCTATTTAGGAATTCAGGTAAACTATCTAGGACACAGTGGAAGAAGACTTTCTAAAGCAGTACCTTGTCATTTTTACAGTTCACGTGGGCCGTAACTAGATGTCAATAACCCACTGCGTTAGAGGGCAGGCACAGAGTACCATGTCCAGAGCTGTGGTTCTCATTGTTTTAATCAGTGGCATCAGTACTGTTAGGAATGAAAATCTGAGATCCTGGCCCACATCTTGTCATGGAGGGTGGACCCAGCCACTAGTCTGGAGGGAAGCACAGTGTGGTACTCCGGGGACAACTCATATCTTGCTGGTTTGTGCAGCACTGATAGAAATGCTGGGTAGCAGACTTTGAAATGAATTTGAATGTCCTTTAAACCAGTGGATACACTGACGATAGTGAAATGTCTGCATTAGGAAGAAAAAGGAAGGAATTTCAGTTAAATTACCCTAATCTTTCTGAGACCAATTATTACTCACTGTTTGACCTATGTAGCGGAGTAAGCAAGCTTACTATAGCTAGAAGATGAGGGAGACAAAATGGTTAAAAAAAAAGTCAAGATACTGGTAATGGAATGTGTGGGGGAGAGAACATAAATATTTAAGGGAGATCACTGAACCTTTTAATTTTGCTACAAATATAAAGCTACTCCACAAATAAACTCTTGAAAAAATCACACTAAAATATGCAAACTCAAGTAAGAATTTCTGTTTGGGGCTGGGGATTTGGCTCAGTGGTTCCGCCGCCTGCCTCACAAGCGCAAGGTCCTGAATCCAATCCCTGGTACCAAAAAAAAAAAAAAAAAAAAAAAAAAAGAATTTCTGTTGGGCATGGTGGCACATGCACATAATCTCGGCACTCAGGAGGCTGAGGCTGAAGGGGCCTTGAGTCCCATGTTAGCCTGGGATACATAGTGAGATCCTGTCTCAAAAGAAAAGAAATCAAGCATGATCCTCGATTTAGTTGTAAAGAACATGACTCCTAAATTGCTTGTCTGCTTTATATGCTTATTGAATAGGGCTGCAGATCTAGGTTATTGCCTTCTTGTTTACTCAGTGCTTTTTTTTTTTTTTTTTTTTTTTGTTGCTTTTCTTTGAGCCAGGGTCTTACTATGTAGTTGAGACTGACCGGGAACTCGCAATGTAGCCCAGGCTGGTCTCGAACTCATAGCGATCCTCCTGCCTCAGCCTCCCGAGTGCTGGGATTACAAGGTGTGCGCTACCACACCTGGCCCTGTTGCTTTTTTTAAAAAAGAAGGTCTTAACCATGTAGTATGTAGTACTGGCTGGCCTCAAACTTGAAGCGATCCTCCTGCTTCAGCCTCCTAAGTGCTGGGATTATAGGTGTGTGCCATCTGCCTGTCACTAGGTGGTTGTAGTTGTAAAAATATCAGTGTGAAAATTGCTTGACTGGAAAAGAGACAATATTAAAATTATTTCTTTTCAGGTACTACAAACTTCAAGGTTACTGGCAGCCCAATGTTGTATAAACTTATTGAAAAAACAATGCAAGAGGTGAGTGTGTGCACACCTCACATACAAAACGGTAACTTAATGCTTTTGGCAATTTATATAGGACAAAAATCATTAAACCACAATCAGTAATCACAGGTATTTTGAATAAGTTTTACAGCAGCATTGTTAAGTGATACTCCAGCTTATTGATCCCTATGATGAACTGTGTCAGGTGGGGGTGGGGGGGTGGGGGGTGGTGATGGTATAGAAAGACTCAGTATCAAAGAAGATAGTGTAATTAGGAGTAGAAACAACACCCCGAGGGAGGCCTGAGCTGCCCTATAGGTGCCAACGAGTGTTAAGGAGAGGCTAAGTGGACTTGAATCATGTAGATGAAGTATTCATTAAGACAAACACATGAATGACAGTAGTTTTGCACTAGGGAGAAATATGATAAAGAACATTTGCCTCATAAGGGTCTGTTGGAGTGATTAAAGTGGAAACAGAAGCAAAGGTCAGGTACTAGACGTAGGCCTTAATCGCCCAGGAATCTGGGGATTCCCTATTGGTTTGCTGGTTAGGCTGGCAGTATAAAATAATGCTACATGGAGACCAGAAAAAAGATAGGCTATGGTTAAGCCCCCTATAAAATGTCAATTAAGAATTTTTTTTTTTAAGTGTTGACAGTACAAACCTAGTAGGAGTAATCTAAGAAATCTGAGATTGTTTTAACTGTCTTAAATACATTTTTTCAAGAAGATATAATGTAGCCGGGCGTGGTGGCGCATGCCTGCAATCAATCCCAGCACTCGGGAGGCTGAGGCAGGAGGATCACTGTGAGTTCAAGACCAGCCTGGGCTACATAGTGAGTTCCAGGTCAGTCTCAACTACATAGTGAGACCCTGTCTCAAAAAACCAAAAACAACAAAAAAGAAGATATAATGTAATTTTTATAATATTTAGATACAGCATATTAGTGCCTAGACTGATTAAGTTCTAAAAAAAGTTATTTTTTATCATATCTTTTCTTATTTTACAGGTGAAGCATCCACTTACTGGGGCATCTCTATATAAGGATAGCAATTGGGTCAACAAAGTGTAAGTTGAGGAAGGTGAAAGAGTAAGCTAATAGAAAAGCAGAATCCCCCAGTAGCACTTGCTGCATTGGGTAGAAAGCTCACCCTCACCTTGTGGTGAGCTTGGCTATAAGCAGAGATTCAGCTGAAGAACGTAGTGGGGGTGAGGGGAGGGTTTGTGGTAGTATGGTCTGTTCTGTAGAAAGCGATCTGAAGACATGTTCTTGCTTTCCTTGCAGTGAGAAACTTTCTTTTGACAATGCTGCTTTCCCTTTCCTCGCATATTCTGGAATTCCAGCAGTTTCTTTCTGTTTTTGTGAGGTGAGTCTGAAGAGCTCTGCAGTGTTACACATTCAGTCTTCTTACTTTAACCGAGACCAGATTTCCTAGAGTGCTTCAGTGGTTTTAAGAAGTTATACACATGTAATTATTGCGTGTTCCCTTATTATCAGTCTTAACATAAATTTATCATCTCTGCTTAATTAGCATTTTAGTTTATTGCTAAAACTCCTTCAGTGGAGTAGGCTGTTTTCAAAACAGCTTACTTTCTTAAATGATTAAGTAACTAACTAATGACTACCTAGTGAATAATGCAGTTTACAGTATTTCTAACTCCTTCAGTGGAGTAGGCTGTTTTCAAAACAGCTTACTTTCTTAAATGATTAAGTAACTAATGACTACCTAGTGAATAATGCAGTTTACAGTATTTGTTTTTTTTTTTTTTAAGTTTATTGGTACATTTTAAGTGTATAATACACTTAACGTTCGTCATTGGGATCTTGTAACTTTTCATGATTTTTTAAAAAATTTTTTCCCCATTCCCCTTCCCTCCCTTCACTACCCTTTCCTATTTACAAAGACTATGTTCATTTTTTCCTTTTCTTATATTTTTTTTCTCTTCCTTCTTTCCTTCCCCTAGTTTATAGTATTTCTTATCAAACAGAAAATTTTATTTGGACATTGCTGTGTAGATATCTACTGAAGAAATCCTAGATGTTTTGTCCACAAATGTTAGTCTTTTAAGGAGTGATGAAAGTACAAATACCAGGTGTAAGATTGTCGAGACAGAACTTTGAACTGACCACGTTTAAGAAAATACAATTGGTAGGCCCAAGAGCCGGTTAGAAGGCTCTGGAGGCTGGCAGGGAAACAACACCAAAAGCAAAGCCCCTGTGCTCCAGTGCTAGCAAGGAAAATGCCTTGCAGCCGGGCTGCTAAGGATGAGTTGGATGTATAGCTCAGTGCGAAGGCCCTGAGTTCATTCTTCAGTGCTATAGAAAGGAATAAAGGAACTGAGTGTCAGGTCCTATGGTTGCAAGAATTTATGGATGATTTCTCTTGATCTTCACATGTTATGTTTTTTAAAAACATCAGATGTGTTCTGAGATGTGAAAGCCTCCCAGGGCTGGTGAAGAGGTACAGCCATAGAAAATGTACAGTCTGAATGAGGTTGAACCAGAGGATTATCAGTGACACTGGCACTAAATCTCACAGTGAGACCCAGGTTTACTTTATATTGTTGACTTTGTCTTTTGTCTCACTGTGTAGTTGAGGCTAGCCATGAACTCCCAGCAGTCTTCGTGCCTAGGCCTTGAGTGCTAGGATTGTAGGCATGCGCCACCATGCCCAGCAAGAGTAATACCTTATATTGAAGTTACCTCTCCTGTGTGGTCTTATCTGTCCCCATGGACATGGGCCACCAAACTCCCCGGAGAGAAAAGAAAAGGGGTACAGCCTCAGGGAGCTTGGCAGGGAATATGGAGATGCCGGAACGTAGGTTCTGTGAGGCTTGGAAGAAAGCAGTCGTTCTAGAAGTAGATCTGATTCCAAGGCAATAGCAAGGATGGTGCCTTAAAGTAGCAACAGACAGGAGATGCAATTGAGGTGGGAATAAACTAGAAACAAGGGGAGAATTGCAGTAACTGTTACCCTTGATGAAGCCAGGATTTGCTGGCTCCTGCTCTTTGAATGCACAGAATACAGTAGCTTCCTTTGTTTCTAGGACATGGACTATCCTTACTTGAGTACCAAGCTGGACAGCTATGACATGCTGATGCAGGAAATTCCTCAGTTGAACAAAGTGATGTGTGCAGCAGCGGAGGTGGCTGGTCAGATCCTGATTAGACTGACCCATGATTTTGAATTGAACCTGGACTACGAGGTTTATAACAGCAAAATGCTTTTGTTTGTGAAAGAACTGATGCAGTATGCAACAGACATAAAGGTGAGCAATAATTGCAGTTAGGTTTTTTTCAAAAATAATTTTAAAACTTGTACAGATTTATGGAAGTGCTTGTGATATTCATTGTAATATTTAAATCTGGGTAAACCTGTCTCAACCATCATTTCCTTGTGAAAATATCAGAATATTCTAGCTTTTTGAAATACAGTATGTCATCCTATCTATAGTCAGCAACAGGCTGAACTTCTTACATTCCACCAGTGAGTGAGGTCATGCAGTACTTGTCTTTTTATGCCTGGCTTTTTTCACTTGCCAGCATGATCTCTAGTTCTATGCACATTGTCACAAACGATAGGATTTCATCCTTTCATATGACCGAATGGTGTTCCACTGTTAAGCGTTCCTGTCATGTGTTCTTCGTCCGTCTGTCCTCTGACCTAGTGGACACTTAGCTTGTTGCTGTTTTGGGGTATTGTGAGCAGTAAACCTGGGAGTATGGCGTCTCTTCCATATACTAATTTTGTTTCCTGTGGAGTGTATTTCTGGATTATACGGTATTATTTTAATTTTTTTTCTTTTTGAAATTGAAAAGTTATTTATTTTTCCCTCATTGAGTTTATTGGTACATTTTAGTTATTTTTAAATTTTTTTGAGGAGCCTTCACACCATTCTCCATAATGGCTGTACTAATTTACTCTCCTGAGATTAAGTTCTTATTTCTGAAGTTTGAAGTATGATATTTCTGGGGAAGGATATGATTAGTAGCCAAAAGTACATTTTAAAGTAAACAGGGTATAATTTTGCTTAGAATTCATAACTCATTTGAAAAAGAAGTTGGGAGACTGTGGATTATAGATAGTGGATAGACCACAGCAGGGTATTTCAGAATGGAGAGCTGTCTTCACCCTAAGCATAGGTTGGACCTAGATAGTCCAAAGATCTTTAGTGTACCTTTCGGATGTGGCTGGGGTGGACAGAGCATCACTAATAGTTACCATGTTATTTGGTGTTGATCCTATGAGTCTTAATAGTCAAACATTGAGTCAAATGAAATTTAGTGAGTAGTTTTTAGCTTATTGTATGGCACTAGGAGTTGAGTTAACAGAGGCCCTTAACTGAAGTAAATCATTAATAAATCTTAACTATTATGCTTTTTTTTTTTTTTTTTTTTTTTTTTTTTTTTTTTTTTTGGTACTGGGGATCAAACTCGGGAGCTTGTGCTTGTGAGGCAGGCAGTGGGCACCGCAGAGCTAAATCCCCAGCCCCCTATTATGCCTTTCTTGAAACTCTTAATTGTTGAAAATGGGACAGCTCATGTAAATAACTTGAAGTTGCCTGAACCAGAATGTTTGCCATTTTCCCCATAGGAAAATTGAACTGGAAGTAATAGTAGAGTATAATATAGCATGATATACTTGTTAAAGTTGTATTGTATTTCTTAATGAAAACTTTTCTTCTGATGCTAAGAAGGGATAATCATACTGTCTCCAGGGTGAGGATGAGTACGTGTCCATGGCTTATGGAGCCTCTGGTACAAGTTGCTGAAATCTGGCTGAGTCCTGAGTTTATTTGTGATTCACTTCCTTTTATTGCAGTCTTCTCAGTTGCCACATTTAAGCTAGAAAGGTCTAGGAGTAACACCCCTTTGAGTGTCCTGTGTCATGGTGAACACGATGCCTTTCTGTTTCAGGAGATGGGGCTGAGCCTGCAGTGGCTGTATTCTGCTCGTGGAGACTTCTTCCGTGCGACTTCCAGGCTGACAACAGATTTCCACAATGCTGAGAGAACAAACAGGTTCATCATGAAGGAGTTAAATGATCGTATTATGAAAGTAAGTAAAGTCTTAGAAGTAGAAATGAGGGGGCCTAACATATGTACATTTTTATTTTGTAAATTTTGCATTTCTAAAAAGGGTAACCAGAAGCCTAGAGTCCTGTGGTTTTTGTTGTTGTTTTGTTTTGTTGTTGTTGTTGTTGTTTTTTGAGACAGAGTCTTGCTTTTGTAGTTCAGGCTGGCCCTGAACTCACTGTGTAACCCAGGGTAGCCTCGAACTTGTGGTGATCCTCCTGCCTCTGCCTCCCGAGTGCTGGGATTATAGGCATGCGCCACCACGCCTGGCCCCTTGCTACTTCACAATTGATCACAGATTTTAGCACTTGGCAAGATCTCAAACAAACCTATCTAATCTGGAAATGTAACAGACATTTGATGGTATATTAATTTTTGGAAAGTTAAAAACGTTTCTTTTTTTTCTTTTGGTAACAGGGATTGAACTCTGGCCCTTGCTCTTGCAATTAAAAACATTTCTTATGAGCCCGGGGATTTAGCTCAGTGGTGCTGCCACCTACCTCAAAAGCTCAGGGTCCTAAGTTCAATGCCTGGCACACACACAAAACAAAACATTTCTTAGGAGATGTGGATGTAGCTCTAGTAGAGTGAGTACTTTGCATATACAAGGCTGTGGGCTCAATTCTCAGCACCAAAAGGAAGGTAGGAAGCAAGAGAGGGAGGAAGGGAGGGAAGAAAGGAGAAGAACCTAGCATTTTGAAGGCTAAGTTGTAAATCTGTATATCTTTAACCAAAAAAATCTCATCAGTGAAGTTTTCCTTAACAAGGCTTTGACAGGTTGTTTCTGAATCTTAACCTAAGAAAAGCAGTAACTCAGTTCCCAACTTTCTCAAACTCAGAAGTTTGGCATTTGAGGTAGGAGGATGAGGGTCCCTCACACAGAACTGTGGCGCTGTGCGTGCCATCTTGTCTGTCTTATTTGCGCAGGTGGAGTACCACTTCCTGTCACCCTACGTGTCCCCGAGGGAGTCTCCTTTCCGGCACATCTTCTGGGGCTCTGGCTCTCACACTCTGCAAGCGTTACTGGAGAACTTGAAGCTGCGTAAGGAAAATAAGGCTGTTTTTAACGAAACGCTCTTTAGGAACCAGTTGGCTCTGGCTACTTGGACAATTCAAGGTGTTGCAAATGCCCTCTCTGGTGACATTTGGGATATTGACAATGAGTTTTAAATATCATCACAAGCATAACAAACATAAGAAGAACAGGGTATTCTGATTTTTAGACTTGTACTGGTTGTGCTAAATTTTCTGTAGGGCTACAAAACCTAATGTTACAATTCTATCTAGTCATCTTGGTAATACTAGATGTCTTTAGGCAGAGCTTTGAATACTGGCTAGGTCCCTGCAATTCAAGTTAAAGTGAATAACCACTTTAAAAATTTTCCTCTGATTATCTCTAGAATTTGAAGTGCTTTTTAATGCAACTCTCTCTTTGTGTCCTTTGCTGAAAATGTGGGGACCAGTTACATGAACTATTGCTATAAATCCCAAGGACATGGGCTGATGTCTTTTGAGATGGGAGGAGAAGGTGTGTCTTGGAATTCAAAGTGGTAGCTCAGTGAGATCCTCCCATCATTCTGCACACGAAACACACGCCTCTCCGTAAGGACACAGCTGGTCTCCGCATCCCTGAGTGAAACAGTTAACTTTTAGAGAGAGAGGACTTGTTTCCTTGCCTACAAGACCTGAAACAGAGGTCCTTCCGCTGGGTCAAATGAGGTTCAACTGTTTATTGCAGGAGTAAGGTCTTAATGTGGGAATTTCTATATTATTTTAAAAGTGGAGACCAGACACCAAAGAGTTTTAGTATAATCGTTTTTCCTGTGACCTGCTTCATAGCCTTTGTTTAGTTCTTTGATTTTTTTCCCCAAAGTTCTGAAAGAGAACCAGTCTTTTAGGCATTTTAGACTCAGATTGTCAGACTTTAAAGAACACATTGCCAAATTTTGGCCAAAGTGTTAATCTTTTGGGAAAGCTTTCTATCGTTTTGGCACTGAGATATTTATTGTTTATTTATCAGTGACAGAGTTCACTATAAATGTTTTTTTAATAGAAGATAATTATCGGAAGCAGTGCCTTCCATAATTATGACAGTTATACTGTCGTTTTTTTTTTAAATAAAAGCAGCATCTGCTAATAAAACCCAACAGATACTGGAAGTTTTGCATTTATGGTCACACTTGAGAGTCTTAGAATCTAACAGCCACAAGCCAAATAATATTGTAATGCTAAGAATTGGGAAAAAAAATCAAATTAGCATTGCTAATAAGATAAACTTCTGTTTAACGGGCCAAATAAAATTGTTAGCTCTCCTAAATGCAACGAATTGCGACCACGTTATAAATGAATGTCACTTAAAGGCTGTGGTAGTACTCATGTATATAAAGTTTTACTGTTCAATTTGTCTATGGTATAACTTAAATTCCAGTTTTGCAAAATTTCCAGTACCTTTGTCACAAACCTAACTGACATTATCGGGAGCAGTGTCTTCCATAATGTGTAAAGAACAAGGTAGTTTTTGCCTACCACAGTGTCTATATCGGAGACAGTGCTCTCCATATGTTACACTAAGGGTGTACGTAATTATCGGGAACAGTGTTTCCCATAATTTTCTTCACGCAGTGACATCTTCAAAGCTGAAGATCGTTAGTATCTAACATGTATCCCCAGCTCCCTGTAACGCTTCTCCTTTTAGTTGCTGAAACATTTTGTGGTCATTATATTTGGTGGGTAAATTCAACTGCTATAAAATGAAATTACTACTTCAAGATCCTTTTTTTTTTTTTTTTTTTTTTTTT